TGTAAAGCAACAACCATTCATGCAGTTAATGACCTGAGTACTTCAGGTCCGGTGAAAAAACGCATGATCGCACGGGCCCGCCCGGTGCGTTCCAGGCTGGGTTAATATACCAAACAAATAATAACAAAGTCCAAATCCAAAACCCTTTTGTCAACACTGTTTAACAGCACACAGTGCTGTTGAACAATATTGATGGCTATTGTTTTGCATGAACTAAATTTGCTGATGGGCAGTAGTGATGCATATCCAGAATAAACTGGATAGTGTTGGCTAAGCCAGTAAGCAGCTAAGGTCTCGAGATTAGCACTGCAAAAAGCTAGGATATAGTGAGCGACGCAGAATAAGAGCAAGAGAAAGAGAGCTCTTGTAGAGCACCTTACTTTTTTACGGTAGAGCAGCTTACTTTTTTACGGCGTTTTTACCTACACGCAGATGCAAAAACACATATTGTGACGACCCATGGTTTGCGTGTTTGTGTGTGTGTGTTTGTTTGTATGTGTGTGTGTTTGCTTGTATGTGTGTGTTCGTCCATTTGAGTATTTCAACTCGACAACCAAGCAAGCTACGACACTGGAATTTTTTCAGTGGTTCCCTGAACAAGCACTATCTCAGGAACGCGGTACCAACCCTAGCGTAAGTCTGAGCCCAGCATGCGAGCACGCGAAAGTTTTGGCAGGAAAATGGCTGACTCGGAAACCAGAACAGCCTGCTCATTTTCAGTGAACGACCGCTCAACGGAAATTATTCATTTCCTTTATGAAAAATTTACGGTTATTTGGGGAAATGAGAACACAAATTAAATGTAAAGCAAAAACCATTCATAGAGTTAACGACTCGGCCGCTTCAAGCTCAGTGGAAAAAAGCATGACTGCACTGGCAAGCCTAGTGCTTTAAAGTCTAACTTTTTAATATATTAACAATCTTTTAATATTGATAAAACATAAAGTAAGCACATCAGTGCACCTTATACACCTCGGGAGGTCGGACCATCGACAAGCCCTTTCAGCAAGTGGCTGCTGTTATTCCATCTCTGCTTCCAAATGCCTTTCACCAAGAAGGAGCACAGCTTCAAATTCTGCTTTACTCTGGACAACAGTAAGTATACTCAGGACAGAGGCAGAGAGACAAAGCTTGCTTCGCTGTTAATTGACGAGAGATGCAGCATGTGGCATTCCGAGATAAAACCGTATTGGATGAAAAAGTGCGTACGTGCAATAAAATTTTAAGTACAAACGAGGAAACTGTAGCTCTCAACGAAAGAGTATGGCATGGTCACTCATGCACAGCTGAACCTCAATGACATCAAGAGCTTACAGTGCTAGCGCAATTTTAAGGTTTTTAATTTAAAAAAAAAAAAAAAAAACATTGCCTTTTTTCTCCCAAAATAAAGCGTATAGTCAACTGGTCAGAGTTCCTGAGAGATGACAGCATTTTTTGAAGCTGTTTTGAAAAAGCAGAAAAAGAGGGACTGAACTGCATTTGTTATCAGTGTCCAATCTTAACAGAGGAAATCGAAATCCTGGTTAATCTCCTTAAGGATGACTGAATTATGCTCGATTGGAAATATAGGATTTTCGCTAGCCTCCCGCCAAGAATTGATCTGCATGCCTGTATGAAGAGTGCCACTCAAAAGAGGCATATGTCGACCAAAATTATCTCAGTTGAGCCATGCAACGCACTGAGAGAAAACGCATAACAGTAACATTTCTCGCCGAAATCAAAGTAATCGTCCAACAAGTCAAACAATTTGAGACATGTTTAAAGGTTTATATTAGTAATTTGTAGGTGTAAGCACAGCTGTGACTTTTCAAAGCTTGGCCGAAAAGTGATATATCTTTTCGCTTTTTAGAAATTTCCTCTAATGCAGCTTTTATGTACGCAACTTTCTCAACAGTTTTTCCTGCCTTTTTGTCAGATAAAAGCTCTGTCTATGTCCAATTTTAGCAAAAATGAACGGACAGAACGGGGTATGAAAAGTGACAGTAATACTCGCAGCAGAAGCCAACCTTTGGAATTGACGGCGAGTTGCGGTATACCCAAGGCGCTCAGCACCGTGTCCACCAACTGACTGAGCAGAGTAGCACCAGAAACGATTGCATAGGAATCGACAAGAGTGTGACCGTCACGTGCACACGTAAGGCAGTGTTGTGGCCGTACCGACTCGACCACAACGCGCACCGGGAACATACTCATCCTGGGAGCTGCTACTTCCGCTTTTGATTAATCCAGTGGCCAAATGTCAACTAGGCAGTGCGACTGATGATACCAACGGTCATCAAATAAAGTGTTAGCGATGAAAATCTGAAAATGCCGAGGAATTACAAAATCTTTAAGTGGAAAGCAGTGAATGGTTCCGAGCTTAGTTCCTGGCCAACATGCGCTTCTGAGAAAATCAGTTCTTCTGTTATTCGTTTCAACGAAAGAACGATACCGGCACATCTAGCACTGAAGAGAATCAAGCCAATTTCAAGTTTTTTGAGAGGCAGTCCCGAAAAGCAAACGAAATAATCATTATATTTTTAAGCTTATCAAAATGTCACTGTTAGCAAGGTGCTACCTCTCAGTGAACTTCCGAATGCCTACGTCCCTTACGAACACTGAAATGCGGCTGAATTCGAAAACTACATGTGTGTCATTTTGAGAGAAAGTGGGTGAAAAGAGACCACATGGAATCTCACAAAGTAATGAAATTTCAAGAAATTTCATTATATTAACGAACAAAAATCCACCGAAGCCTCTGAGAAATTATATCGTTAGAGTCGCCCGGATTGTTCAGTGGAATTTCTGATGTTGTTAAGATGTAACCACATACATCCTCCACTGCCGAAAATCCATTCTTGTCTTACAAGTACGTTCAAGAATCAGGGGAGGAACGAAGGTAGTTATTTTCTTTCGTATGTGGGTGAATACGTTCTGTGTAAAATGAACATTAGAACCCCATGTAGCACATACACTTCATCAAGATTATCCTGATCACTCAAGCTACCAACTCGGGCCTTAATAATAATTATAAAGAGCTGCGCGGTAAAGAATGGTTCTGTGGGAGAGTGGCAGTGCTCGGAACATCTTAAAAAAATAAGGCGCGCAGACATTACGGATAAGACGGTAGCAGTGCCAGACAATTAGATCAGGGCGAAAGAGACCGACAAGCAAGTGGATGCATCTCAGTAACATTAAAAGATTAAGGGACGAAAAAGTTTCCAGTTTAACTTACAAGGCTGCAGCCAACTTGTTATAAGAGAAACACTTCACATTTAATTTTGGTAAAGATAACAACGACGGCGAAAAGATACCATAAATAGTAATCATAAGCGAGGATAAATTTGAATGAGATAGAAACCCACTTCGGATGGCTTTAGTGGCCCTGCAAAAGAATTTAAACAAACTTCTCGGAGTTAGCTAATTCAGCTAGCAGTTTACACATGTTTTAATTAAATGCAAAAGATGGTTGGAACAAACATCCGTTATTACTGAATTCCTTAACGAGGACTTTCCTACAGAAATTGGAGGTTTCTGTGAAGTCCAGCAATACAATCTTGATAGAGGAAGCATTACGAGAAATTTCAACAAATGATGGCAGACAGTACTGATGTATTGCTTATGCATGTGCTAACGATAACGTTAAATGCGCAAAAAAAAAAAAGAAAAAAAATAAGGGTCTCAGAGAGGGAGAGTTATTTACCTCAAAACAGCTTAAAGTGCTAGAACACTCCAAACGGGCATCAATTTTAATGCAAAAACTAATATGTTAGACAAACTAGTGCTGCTTCAAGTAGCAACAGAAATTTACAGATCTGTAATTCAATTAACAAAACAGTCTTTGGCTGGATTAGTTCTACTGGAAGTCTCTCGATGCATTGACAGTGGGCTGGAAAAGTTGCGTGGGCACGGCAACTGCCCAAGTACTCAAGTACGAAACTGTTACTGGTCCTAACGCACTAACTTAGGTCCTGACTTTTGCTGGCGGTCTTTTTTTCATCGTACTAATACAGAACTGCACGCCGATCACAGCCATGTTCTCTCGAGGACTGCATTTTTCATGTCATCTGCGACTCCCACGATTTTCTAATTATTCATAAAAGCAATAAGATCTGATAATGCAAAACAAAAAAAAAAAAAAACTAAATTCTTTTCGTATCTCAAGCTCTTTCCCGAAAGTAAAAGGGAAAAGGCACGACTACACAAGCATGTGCATCAACATCTCATTAACATCCAGCTCTTTTCCAACGGGTAATTTTGGTGATAAACATAGATGATTCATGAACGTCGGATATATCCTACTGCATCTAAACATGCGAAAAAGATTATATTTGTCTGTGTAAGAGGAACAGTAAAGTTATATCAGTTTTAAACAGTCAACAGAAAACCAAGACAATCAAACGAGAAACAACGAAAATATGTGGCTTTGTGTGTGAGCTGTAGATTCGGCGCCATAGAGGAATCAAGAAAATCTCTGAGGAAAAAAGTCAATCACTGGTTTCAGTCGGAAAGGGATAGGAGTAATGTACTTCCAAGCAACAAACGGTGTGCATGTACAGAAAGGGAAAGTGTCGTTCGGTGAAGCAATAAAAAAATAAGCGCCAGCTCTCTCTGGTACCAAAGCTTTAAAAAATGATTCTTG